AGTTTCTCAGTAAAAAATTTATACACAAATTATTTTGTGACATTAGTTGGAATCTCTGCAATGTGTTAGCACTCTCCCCCTTTCCACTCTGGGTTCCAATGTCCATTCGTCTAGTTTTTCTGTCTCTTCCTACCTTCTCATCTTTGCTTTTGGGCAGACATTATCCATTTGGTCTTGTATACTTGGTTGAACTAAGAAATACGTTCCTCCTGTGTGTTATTGTTTGTATTACAGGCCTGTCTAATCTTTGGCTGAAAGATGGACTTCGGGAGTGGCTTCAGTTTTGAGTTAGTAGAGTGTGCAGGGTCCATAATCTCAGGGGTTCCTCCAGTCTCTCAGACCAGTAAGTCTGGTCTATTTTTGGGAATTTTAATTTTGTTCTAAATTTTTCTCCCACTCTGTCCGGTACCCTCTATTGTGATCCCTGTCAGAGCAGTTGGTGGTGGTAGCTGGGCACCATCTAGTTCTTCTGGGCCCAGGCTGGTGGAGGCTGTGGTTCATGTGGTCCATTAGTCCTCTGGACTAATATTTTCCTTGTGACTTTGGTATTTTTCATTCTCCTTTTCCTGGATAGGCTAGTACCAATAGATGTATCTTAGATGGCTGCTCAGAAGCTTTTAAGACCCCAGATGCTACCCACCAAAGTAGGGTATAGAACTTTTTTTTTTTTTTTTAATTGTGCTTTAGATGAGGGTTTACAGAGCAAATTCGTTTCTCATTAAACAACTAATACACATAATATTTTATGACATAGGTTCCCAATACCATGATGTGTCAACACTCTCCCTTTCTTGACCTTGGGTTTCCCGTTACCAGCTTTCCTGTCCCCTCCTGCCTTCTTGTCCTTGCCCCTGGATTGATGTCCCCATTTAATCCCGTTTTGTTTTATGGGCCTGTTTAATCTTTGGGTGAAGAGTGAAGTTCAGGAGCGACTTCAGTACTGAGTTAAAAGGGTGTCCGGGGGCCATAGTCGCAGGGTTTCTCCAGCCTCTTTTAGACCAGTAAGTCTGGTCTTTTTTTGAGAGTTAGAATTTTGTTCAACATTTATCTCCAGCTCTATCTGGGACCCTCTATTGTGATCTCTATTTTTTAATTGAATTATTTGTCTTTTTGTTCTTTAGATGTTGAAGTATTTTATAGGTTTTAGAGATTAGACCATTGTTGTAGCCAAAAAATTTTTCCCAGGTCTGTAGGTTCTCTTTTTACTCTTTTGGTGAAATCTTTTGATGAGCATAAGTGTTTAATTTGTAGGTGCTCCCAGTTGTGTGGTTTATCTTCTGGTGTTTGTGCATTGCTAGTTATGGTTTGTGTTGTATTTATGCCATGTACTAGGGCCCCTAGTGTTGTCCCTATTTTTTCTTCCATGATCTTTATCATTTTAGGTTTTATATTTAGGTCTTTGATCCATTTTAATGTAGTTTTTCTGTATGGTGTGAGGTATGGGTCCTGTTTCATTGTTTTACAGATGGACATCAATTTTGCCAGCACCATTTGTTAAAAAGACCATCTTTTCCCCTAATGGACTTTGCTCCTTTGTCAAAGATCAACTGACCATGGGTGGATGAATTTATGTCTGGGTTCTCAATTCTGTTCCATTCGTCTGTGTGTCTGTCATTGTACCAGTACCAGGCTGTTTTGACTACCGTGGCTGTATAGTAGGTTCTGAGGTCAGGTAGTGTGAGGCTTCTACTTTGTTCTCTTTCTTCAGTAATGCTTTGCTTATCCGAGGCCTCTTTCCTTTCCACATAAAGTTGGTGATTTGTTTTTACATCTTGTTAAAGAATGCTGTTGGTATTTGAATCAGAGTTGCATTATTTCTGTAGATCACTTCGGGTAGAATTGACATTTTCACAATGTTGAGTCTTCCTATCTGTGAGCGTAGTGTTTTTTCCACTTAGGTAGGTGTCTTGGTTTCTTGCAGTGGAGTTTTATAGTTTTCTTGGTATCAGTCTTTTATGTCCCTGGTTAAATTTATACCTAAGTATTTTATCTCTTTGGGGCAGGAGCCTTTCTTTATGGAGTATTAGGATTTATATTATATTTGAGAGTATTTTATAATTTTCCAAGTGTTTTCACATTATTTCACGTAATCAACATGATCATTTTGAATTTTAGGGAGTGCAAGCTGTAGTCCCATTTTTACAAAGCGAGAGTTAATTGATGTCACATAGTAAGTAAATAGTAGTTCTTAGATCGATAATTCCATGTATTATGTTCTCCCATCTATACTGTGCCCTCCCAGAAGCACTATAGATTAGTGGTTAAGAATGGGTTTTGGAATAAAATAGACAACTCAATATCTAGCTGTACTGTTCATTGCCTTTGTGAGTTTGGATAAGGTGCATAAACTCCCAAGCCTCTAGTTTCATACTTGTAAAATAAAGAAAATAATGGTAACTTTTCAAAGGGTTGTTTTGAAGTTTATGTAATACCTTACATGTAAACTAATTCATTACCTGCTAGCAGTTATTATTATTAGTCGTCTGCACAGTACCGTCAAATATTCCAAATGTTGCGGTTTAAAAAATTAGAGACACATGAGGCAACTTTACATTGGTATTTCTAGTATATTTATTCAGCTGGCCTCACACAATTGCTTGAGACATTTGCCTAGAGGATCCCAAGATAGTCTAAGGAAATCTTTTAAAGGATTACATAAATCGTTCGTTTGGTTTTTTACTTACAACCAAATATGTGATAACTCTTAGTAAGAGCCTTTATACATGAGAAAATTAATATGAGATTGTCACATTGTCTACAAGATAAAAGTGATTCTAAGCACTGACTGTATAATAAACTCATCTCTGGAGCTTTAAAAAAATATATATGGATGTCAAGCTATCCTACAGAATCTCTGGGGTTGGAACGTGTATTTTTAAAAAATCTCCAAGCTTGAAAACAAATCATAAAGGAAGAATTCCTCTTAATATTATAGGGCAGTATTAAGAAATGGTTTTCAAACTTGGCTGCATAAATCATGTAGGAATCTTTAAAAAATACTGACGCCTGAGTCTCAACCCCCGAGATTCTGATTTTATCGATACGGGGTGTGACCTGGACATTGGGGTTTTAAAAAAATCTCCCCAGTTGATTGAGTACGCAGCAAAGTTTGAGATCCACAGTTTTAAAACTAAGAAATGAGAATATGAAGAAAGGTGTATTCAGTGTATATAATGCCCAGGATAGCATCAAACTCCGTTGAACTTTTAAAATAATAATGTAATTATTTTGTTTTGTATAATAAGTGATTTGCTTTTTTAAAAACAGGTACACTGGAGAACCTAGAAGAACTGTATTTGAATGACAACCCCAACCTGCATAGCCTTCCGTTTGAGCTGGCTCTCTGCAGCAAGCTTTCAATTATGAGTATTGAGAACTGTCCACTCAGCCACCTTCCACCTCAGATTGTTGCTGGGGGACCTTCTTTCATTATCCAGTTCCTAAAGATGCAGGGTCCATATCGTGCCATGGTCTGATAAAAATCCACTGGTCCCACACACTGTTCAAACATAGACTGCCATTAATGTTTCAAATCTTTATCTGTATCTATTTATGTAGATATTGATATATATGGCAGATTTACAAAGACTGCATTATGTGTTTCTGCTAATAGAGGAATCATAGCCATTTAGATTTTTTTTTTTTTTAATTCTGTACAAAAGCTTATGTAAGTTTTCTTTGCTGAACTTGATGGATGTTTTTCTCTTGTGTAATCTGATATACCAGTTTGCCTAAAACATTTGCCAACCAATTATGAAGTTACCAAATTTAAGGAACAGAGGTAGTATAATTAGATATACTTTCTCTTGGGAAAAATAATGGACAATTTTGTTGCAACTTTTCATATACACTTTCCCCTTACCAATTGTTGTATCTTTATAGTATTATAGGCCCTGAAGTAGAATTTTTCTTTAACTTATTTTGAGATTTGAGATTTAAATTTTATATATTGTTTACAGTCAGAGTAAATCACTGGATTTTTTTTTCTTTTTGGTTTTGATTTGCTCTGTTTTAATCAATCAAATCTAGAATTTATATCCTCTGCTAAAGAATTTGAATCAGCTGGTTTAAATATCAAAAGATATTTGCTTGTTGGGACAACTGGCAAAGTGAAAAGATGCAGTCAAAAATTGTAGAATTCCTTTAATTGTACGTCTCTGATCAGTTGTGAAGCAAAATATCTGAAATGAATCTTTGAGTGGAGGGGGAGGGTATTAGACTATTTCCAATATAAATATCTTTTTCTTAGTTTAGGGGAACAAAAACTTGTAGTGAAAAGGAGTTTTCATTCTTGGAAGTTGCAGATCCACAAAAACTAATAATCTGGCCAAAAAAAAAATTGTACACATAAACACACACATTCTATATATGTATATACAATGCTATATAGATATGTATTTATTATATCATAAACTACAATAGGTAATTTTTAAGGATTTCTCCCTATCCTTGTACAATGAAATGAATGTCTTTCTTTGAACACTGCAATATATGTACGTTTCAAGGTTATTTAACAGTGTACTATGGTTTTATATCTTGACTTGCCTTGTACATCTTTCAGTTCTGGAGTATCTGCGTCTAAGCACAATATCTTCACACTGTGCTGTATTGCTGCTGAACTAAATGCACTTTTCCCCACATGTGGGGCGCTGGCTTCAAACAATTCAGTTCAGTACCATTAGTTTTAATCTCATCTGTCCTTTCTTGATAGATGTTAATACAGTTATTGAAAAGAGGCACATTGCATAGAAGCCATTGATAGTTCAGTGGAAGTTGTGTAAGATGTGCATGTGCTATTTGACATATTTTCTTTTTCGCTTTACTGCTTTTAAGGCTAGCAGTATTGTAAGTGTGTGTCCCTTATACAGTACTCTTTCTTTTGGTAGTGTTGGTCTAAGTCAATTTAATTATTGAGGAGACTCACAGAGCAAGTACATTCTATATATCATCCTAAAAAACACTTCCCATATAATGAATAACTATTAAGTATAATTATGGATTGCTGCTTGTTTTTTTATTTTTACTTTTTTGCCATTTAGATGGGCATTGTGTTTTAAACAGAACGTTTTTGAGTTAAGGCTATAATATTAAGATATAAATGTGAAGTGTTTCATTTTTCCTGGCACACAAATTCAGTACTAGGTTTGAGGTTGAACCTATCTTCTTAATTGGCATTTTTATAAGGAGCAGTGTAGAAATGGAAGGCAGGTGAAGATATAAAACCCTAGAATGCTTAAATGTGCTGTAAAACTATTGTAGATGTCACTGGATTTTACCAAGTAATATTCTTCCTTCTTTTTTCCATCTACTGTGGCATTTCAGTTAAAATTTTGTTTATAAAAGAAATTTGTTTATTACAGCTCTACCTAGAGCTTATGTGTACGTGTGGTTTTTTAAGTCTCGTGTCCAGGTGTGTTTTAGTAGTAAGGTGATGGAACTCGAGTTTTAAAGGCAGTAACCTGATGTGTTTTCTTGAAAAACAGTTATGGTTATTGTTTCTTAAAATGAAAATAGATATGGTTTTTAAAACACTTTGGTCCCCCTACCTTTCTTTATATTAGTCTATTTTAGAAGTACAAAATGATCACAAATCTTACATAGAAGTGATACAAACAGTATAGGTGAGGAGTTAAAACAATTTTTAAGGGGCATAAAACATATGTCCTCTGTATGGCTTCCACCTTGTAAGAATTCATGAATTTCATTACTACTACCAAGGAACTCAAACTCTAATTAAAGTATCCTTGTGAAATCAAGATATTTAATACATAATTAGTTGAATATACTAAAGGACATTGTTGAATGACTATATATGAACTAATACTTTTCCTGAAACTGCAATGGAATTAATTGACATATCCAAGAATTTTTCTTTCTTTTAAAGAAATTAGGTTTGGTCTCTCCATGAGGCTCTTATGAATAACTAAAACAAGAATGTCATAGAATGTTACATTGTCAAAACATTGATGTAAACTTTGCTTTTTGTTAATATGTAGTAGCAAAATAGCATTGGTAATGACAAACAGTCCTTTTGTTTGAGTTTCTTTTTAATTCTGAATCATAATTTTATTCCAAAAAAAAAGAGGGAGATGCTAAACAATTTGTGGACTTGACAGATACAGATGAAAACAGTAGAAGATAGAAACTCTTGGAGGGGAAAATACACATAAAATGTTTATTTGTACTCTTATTAAAAGGTAGAAAACAAACAGCAACTGCCTTCCCTCCCACTCTATCCTGCTCTGAAGTGTTAGGACAGACCTAGCAACCCACTGTACTGCACCGCACTTTACAGTTGACCCATCTGTCGAGCCTCTCTCTGAAGCAAGCAAGGCATTTAAAATCATGCCCACTCTCCAAAGGAGGATACTACACTTCAGACAGGCCAGTGGACTTGTCTGAAGTCCCACATCTAAAACACTTAGGAAAAGGAACTTTGGCTTCCAAGCCAGCCTCAAGAAGGGCCCAGAAAACAGGAGGAATGGATCTTCACGAGATTTACAGATGGCTCAGGGTAGAACCAAACTGTTGGAGCCTCGGTATATCTGCCATTACTGAAAGGCCCTACAGGGACCACCTCATTGCCACCTTCCCCCACACCCTTTTTGTGGTGAGATTCTATGTAGAAAGCTGAAATCGTGTGTCTAAAATCATACAAGTATTGTGGCAGAGCCAGGCTAGAGCTGAAAAGCCTCTCAGATTTTAACACACATGGAAATTCTTTACGTTCATGTTGGCTAATGGTTTTAAAAAAAAAGGGTGGGTGATGCAATTGAAATGAGCTCTGAAAATGTAATTGCATCTTTCTAATTTGTCTCATTGTACAACCTGAATCATCTAAAATGGATAAGCTGTTTAATATCACAATTTAGTTTTTTATTATAACCTTTTGCTTTTCATCTGAGTTATTTCTAAGCTGTGTTTATTGAGTCAGCTTGCAGAATTTTAATTGTTTATCAACAAGAATGGGTTATGATTAAGCGTGCAAAATGACACTTTTAAAATGGAAAGAGGGCACTATCAATTGCTGTATTGGTCCAACAAGGCATTAAGCAGAGCTTTCAGGCAAACCAGGATATATGGTCACTCTTGCATGATTAAAAGTAGACGAAAGCAAATGGCACAATCCAAAATAAGCAGGAAAATAATAAATTCCTGATCTTTATCAAATTTAACTAAAATGAGTGAATTTTGAAGAAAGGTTTCCTTCTGCATGTACCAGAGGGTAAGATATAGTATACCACATATCTTATTTTGGCTAGTTTAGCCTCTGGGAGTCAATTAGTGCAATTGAAAAAAGCATGACAGCCAGTCTTTGATTGTAAATCTCTGAAAATCCAAATATGCAAGAGTTGTGACATTGATTTGGTATCTAACAAAGTATCTTGAATGTTGTATCAGAGTATTACGAGAGTGTTTTGTAAAATAGACACCATACTTTATTATTGAATAGAATGCCTTCTAAACCTGATAATTCTGAGGAAACAAACATTTGTGGGGTTATTTTTTAACTTTGAAAGAATATATAAGATATTTTTAGAGTTGTAATTTTTAAAAACTGGAGTTGATCATTACCCTTAAGTGCTCTCTTTACTCACTTGATTCTCCCACCGACAGCTGACATTCTAAATTTACACTGAGTGTAGATAACTGTTTCTGATGAGGACTGAAGATGGATAGTAGTTTATGGTGTTTCAGATTGGGACTTTTAAAAGTTTGGAAGGAGGAATAGTCTCTATGAATAGGGCCATCATGTTTGGGTTTTGCAGATTGTGCAGTGCACAGCAGCACTGCATATTAGGGGGTGTTCATTTACATCGTAGGTTTGTGTAATAGTTTTTCAGCAGATGGTAGCAAAATACTTTGTTATAACAAAATCAGTATATGATGTCAGTTGTATGACATGGAAGTAAAGGGTCTTGAAGAAAGAGCATTTTCCCATCATTCACACAAAAGTGCCCTATGGGCTAGTGGCAGTTTGAAGTAAGGAGATTTGATCTTTATGCTAGTTTTTAAAGCTTCACCCTAGCAATCCTAATAACAATTGAATAATGTTTAAATGGCATTATAAGCATTTTATATGTTATAGGTAGTCCTAAAAATGGTCTGTCTTGGAAAATCTGATTAGAGTCTATGGATGCTTTATCAGTGACCATAATTGTTTAGATTGCCTGTCCTTTTATCTGTACTGGTGGTGTTTATATAGAGAATTTAATCTTCCACAGGTCTGATGGGGCTTAATATACAAGTAGCATTTGAATTAGCCATCTATACCATTCTCTCTTCATGATTTTGAAGAAATTATTGCTCAGTAAATCTGTCCATCTAGCTAGCATTTAAGACCTGGTGCCCACTATTACAGGGGATTTTAAGTGTATAGATCAAATCATTTAAATATGAATCTTCAATAGAAAAGTATAAGATTATATAATTTTTCCTCATTTAATGTTTTTTCTCCCTCCCACCTCAAAACTCACTTTTTTAACAGTTCAGAAAATTGTCACTGCTTAGTAAAACTGCAACAAAGAATTTTGTATGGTCAATAGTGTCCTTCAATTATATTTTAATCTACTGTCAGACTTGTTTTTAATTAGATGTACAATAATTTACACAACACAGTTTACAAAGCATAGCGAGAACAGTACAAAAATTGACAGTGTTTACGTATGGATTTTTCTAGCAAAGGTTAGGTTTCCACTGATGTTTTAACAGGGCCTTGTACTATGGTAAATATTTAGTATTCTGAATTATTCTTCAAGGCTAAAAGGTATAAACAGCTTTCAAAAAATGTATTTTTAACCTGAATTGTTGATTATTTTGCCTATATAAAGATTACCTTACCTTTTTAGTAAGTCATTTTGTATTAAGATATTCAATATAAATAATGTAAATGTTCTGACATTGAGTCTTTTAATTCTTCCAATGCTAAGTGTAACTGAAGTTGGACACGAAATCAATCTTTGAGTATCATTAAACCACGAAAATGCAGAAGTGAGAAATGACTTTTCACTCTCATTTAATCTTCTGGAAAACTTTGAAACAGCAAATGCCATTCATACAGTGTACAAAAAGAATGCAACAATGTATTTTGTATGGTCAATAGTATCCTTCAATATAATTGTTTATATTTACTATATTACAAAACCCCAAACTATAGTTGTTAGTTTTTTTTTAATACTACTATTAGAGCATATAATGAATACATCTATAATGAAGACCGTCTTATATTGGAGACGTTGAATTATTACAAGTATTCCCTTATTCTCTTAGCCTTCTGATCCTAATTGTATTTTTATCATGTTCTCCATGTGTCATGGAGAAAATGCTTCTTTGTTTTGTTTCTGTAACCTTTCATAAGAAAGTCTGCCCTGACTATACTGTTTAAGATGTCTATGGTTTGAGTGCAGGGTTTTAGAAACATAAAGATGTGATACCAGCTAAAAAAATTATAAGTTTGTGTTAAAAGGGTTTCGTGAGAACAAAAGCTGTAAGGGTAAAAGAGACCTTGTCCAATACGAGCTGTCTGACTAAAGAGAGTTTATCAGGGAAGAAGGTAAATATATGTCATATGCACAACGTGATGAAATCTCTCCTCTTCGTATTCTTTCAGCAGATATCTATTAGGTGCCTAATGTGTGCTAGGTACATATTATGTGCCAGGTAGTATCCTTGAGCTAGGAATATAATAGTAAACATGACAGACATGGTTCCTGATTTTCTAACCATGTAAAGGAATTTTGGGTTTTGTTGTAAAGGCAATTAAGGGACTGAAGGGTAAAGCTAGGGAGTGACATGATCAAATATGTCTTTTTAAAGATCACTCTGGCTACCTCAAAACTAGACGCCAAGAGGCCAGATAGGAGACTGTTGTAGTAACCAGGTGAGAGATGGCAATGGCTTTGATTGGGATGGTAGTAGTGGAGATGGAGAGAAATAAACATTTAAGGGAGACTGAGGAGAAAGTATTAGTAAGACTTCATGATTGATTGGATGAGGTAACCCATTGCCGTTGCATTGATTCTGACTCAGCAACCCTATAGAGCAGGGTAGAACTTCTCCATAGGGTTTCCGAGGCTGTAAATCTTTCTGGGAGCAGACTGCTGCATCTGGAGCAGCTGGTGGGCTCGAACCACCCACCTTTCGGTTAGCAGCCAAGTCCTTAACCGTCATGCCACTCCCAGGTAGTGGCTTAAGCATCTGGGTGGATTTACTAAGCTAAGGAACTTTGGAGGAGGACCAGGTTCTTCTAGTTTATTATTTGTTTGGAGATGGGATGGGAGAGGATGTGTTCTAGTACCTGTGGAATGTCCAAGTGGAGATGTCAAGTAAGCAGTTGGGTAGGTAGATCTGGTATTTAGAATATTAGGCCTAGAAGTATGATTCAGCATATAGAAGGTAATTGAAACAAGGATACGATAGGGAGAGTGTGTAGAGTGGGAAGAGATCTAGGATAAAATTCTGATAAACTGAACATTTAGCTTTTATGTAGACAGGAACCTGCAAAGACTGAGAACGACCTGTAATAGAGGTGGGAAGGAAACCAGGAATACGGTTTTAGGAAACAGAATAGCCAGTTTCACTCAGTGCAGAGACACAGCATTTCTGTTATCACAGAAAGTTCTACTGGATAGTGTTTTTTAGGTTAGAGCCACTTTTTCTCCATAATTAGTGGTTTGTCCTGAAGTTGAGAGAAAGGTTCCCCTAAATGCTTGTTTTTCAGATTAGGCCTGTGTGCAACTTTATTTCCCGAAAGCATTGAGGTGGAAGGTGCCAGCCGGAAATCGTTAAGGGCAGCTCTTCATTTTTTCTGATAATCTTATATGACTTACACTTTTTCTTATTCGAGTCCCTAAATCTTCTCTCTAGAAATGTCATCTAAAGATTGAACTTATTTTTCTGCATTTCTATTTTTTATTTTTTATTGTTTGCTCTTTTCCAGATTCTAAATATTTAATGAATCAGTTTATGGTGGTCTTTCTCATTTTTGCTATTTAACTCTTTCTTTGTATTTAATCTTGGGGAATAGATTAGATTTGAGATAACTGGTCAGGTCTATGCATTCTTAACTCACCTTTGATCAAGACTGGTTTGCCTAGTCTAGCCAAAGAACCAGATTTTTGTTGTTTTAGAGCCTTGCTAGCAAAATTCAGGCCTAGGAAGAGAATGAGTATCTGTATTTGGAAGGGGCACAATTCTAAAATGCACATAAAAATACTTTGATTTGAATACTGTTATGAAATGTAAAAGTGTTTAGATTAAATGATTAGAATATTGACTCAATGACTTCTTTAGATTTAAATGGTTATTCTCAATTTTTAAATTATTTTTCAACTGAGATTTTTAAACTTTGATAATCTGCCTCAATTACCAGTGCAATAATGCCTTGAAATGTCTACTAAGAGAGTTATAATGTCTAATAAGAGATCATATATTATAAATATTACTAGGCATTGTGACTGTTCAGATACTTTTAAATATTTCACTTGATTGAATAACTATAGTTACTTTAAATTTCTTTTTTGAGGTTGGAGATGTGAATCTGAATTTTTTTAAAGCAGTTTTTACCACTAACTTTGACAATTAGAAAGAATCTGATTTTAATGTAACTTATTTCCTAGAGAGAGAGGGGAGAGGGCTTTAATGCTCACTGTTTAGGCATCTACATGGCCATATTTCTTATGGCAGAAGTAGCACTCAGAATGCTTGGGATTAGCCTTTGAATTTCTGAAGTATAAAGATATACCATATGTTTATACATATATACTAATATATGAGAGAGGGAGAGATAGTAAAAGCACAAAGGTGAAAATAAAGTGAACTTTCTATATGTTTCTACTCAGGCAGGTGACCCATCTGTTAAGAAGTTCTGTGGTTTTTCCTTATATGGGGTCATGTTTTGCCAAAATTTATGATAGATTCCATGTCTTTAAACTAGCACTATTGCTTGGTACAGTATCGAATACTTATAATGTATTCTTTCTTGTCAAACACAACCTACAGACGCGTAAGAAATTTTGCCCTTGAGAAGGTCATAATCTCATGGAATTCACGCCTATTTGAATAATCTACTTTTTAAAAATTAAGAATAGCCAATTCCAGTCAGTTCAATTTTTCTAACCTCCAAAGCACCTCCTGTGACTGCTTAATAAAGACCATCCTAAGGCAATTGAGAACATCTCTTTTAAAAAGTACTGATCAACTTTGATTTCTAGAGGATAAGAACTTAAAATGAAAAGTTATGGATGAGCCTGAGTTTGGGGTTATTATCATTTTCTTCCAAAATGGTTGGAGACTTCTTTTTCCATCTGTGAGCATCGACTTAAATGGAAGTAATAAATCTACACATTTTGGCCTTTGATTCCAACTTCAAAAAGACACGATACCAAGAATTATTCTTAGCAATCCCCAATTTATTAGGATTATGGATGAGAATCAAAAGCAAATTTTTCTAATTTTCTGCTTTTATAATAATAATTTATCCTGTTACATTTACCAGGGTATAGTTAGCCTTACCACATTAACTAGGTGTTACTGTAGATAAGATATCTGAGGATCAGAGTTTGCTTTTATAACACACACACACACACTTATATGTATTCTGTGTATATATTCTGGTTCAATTCTCTTCATAGAGGTAACAATTCTCCAGATTTTCTAGTATATATGAATACCATGTGACATAAATACCAACTTTAAAAAATACAGCACTACAAATAATTAGTTCAAGGGAAGCCTTAAAGCAAGTTGTGAGTTCAAAGAGAGTTTACCTGTACCTAAGTGTCTTGGCAATTAATAACTTTTCTCCACTATATACTATTATTTATCCAAGAGTGAATTTTAAAATAATTTGTATTGCTAGAATCTCATTTGGGCCATGAATTTTATTGAGGATTGTTAAGGGCCCAGGTTACTTCTGAACCTTTAAAAACTTCACATGACAAGCTTAGTAGTACTTTATTTTGCTTCTTTGGTTTTTGGTTATGTTTAGTTTTATTTTAAAGAGTGGTTGTGTATTGAAGCAACTAAGCTAATTTCATTTTTCCCTTTGCTGTTCCTTTTTCTAAAAAAATATAAATCTGACTTCATTAATTGTCAACATAGGGAATATCCAGGGAAAGTGAATGAGTTATACACTGATGCAGTATTATGTCAAAATATAAATTAGAGCCTGCATCTTCTGACTCCACAGTCAGGGTTCTTTCCACTCCTCTGTACTGTGTCTCCATCTAAATCATGACATCTGCCCTGCTCTGTCTGAAATAGGCTAACCAGGTGAAAGCTGATTAGTTGCAGCCCTGATTAAAATAGGTTTACCAGGTGAAAGCCAAAGCAAATAAAACTTTTCCCTTACTAAGTGCCTACTAAGGAGCCCTGGTGGCACAGTGGTTAAGCACTTGGCTGCTAACCAAAAGATTGGCAGTTCAAACCCACTAGCAAAGAAAAATGTGACCGTCTGCTTCCATAGAGATTCTAGCTTTGGAAACCCGGTAGGGCTGTTCTACTCTGTCCTTTAGGGATACTATAAGTTGGAATTAATGGCACACAACAAGAATCTACTAGTTAGAATAACCATCTATTACAACAACCATAAATTTGAACAATTTATATTGAGTTCTACACCTCTTTTCTTCCCATCCTTTTAAACCAAATGCAATATAAAAGTCACAGAAACTTACAGTGCTAGACTTAAGTCCTATAATGTATAATTTAAATACTTAACTATTATTTTTTTTGTCTGAGTGATCTTTCATGTTTATATGTGAAATTTGTTTACTAACAAATTTTCATTTTGAATAAAGTCAAGTGTCAATGACTTGATACTGGAGATTCAAAAAACATCACATGGGCCAACCCTCATCTTTCAGGAAGGTAAGATATTGCCCCATTTTATGGATAAAGCAGTGTTGTCACTAGGATTGGTTTCACCCCCTACCCCATGCTAATTACCACAATATTGTAGCTAAAACACCGGAAAATTTGACAAGATCATTGACTATAAAAACACCAGTTGCAACTAAAACAATAGTGTGTGCTTGCAGTGTGTGTAAATGAAACCACGTGATTTGAAGCATCATTGTAATTGGGTAATAATGACAGCTCTGACCAGAGCACATTGGAAGGTTCAAGAGGTGAATTAGCACAGTTTTAGCCTTGTAGGTATATTGATACCTGGAAGCTGGACTTACAAAAAATGCTTTTGTTGTTATCACTACAGGGATATTTTTATAAATAATAATTTCTGCTGAAACACTGCACACAAATTTTACAGACAGTCATTTTGGTGTCACCCCCTCTGACAGTATCATCCGATGCAGTCCGATATCCCGCACACCTCCTAGTGACGCCACTGGGATGAAGTAGCAAATACAGAGAGTGTTTAAGTCACCTGACTAAAAAATAGTATGGCGAAATTAGGGACTGCCTCACCTAGTGTTCTTTTGACTCTATCTCACTGTCTTTGTAAGATTGTATGCTTACCTGTGAACACATCCTCAGTTTTGAACGTTCAG